AACACCTTTCTTCTTCTTCATCGGCTACAGCAACGCTTTCATCAGTATTAACAATAGATTGCTGCCGCAAGATCAACCTTCCCTAATAGTGTTGCTGAAGGATAATTTCGCCAAACCTACTCAGGTCACCAGGTTTGACGGCAAAAGCTCCTTAATACTGCCATAACGTCCGGCGTACTTTCAGGAGCTATTGTCACCATTCTTGTTCTCTAATGCGTTAGCTCTATACCTGTCCCAGAAGAAATCATTTTACCAAAATATGCACATGACGTTATCGTCGTAGTGAACAATGGCACAATGAAACAATGGTTTATTACGGGTAAAAACATCGCTTAACAAGTCCCGTGGGATGGAAATTACTGCTAAAATCAATTGCATAATAAAGTGAAAGGCGTTGTGGTGGACCCAACATAGACTTAGGTGGAATAGCGGAGATGTTCGTATACTAAACATATAAATCCATAAATCCATTGGTTAGGCGTTTGGCAAGACACCGTTTGATTGCGTTTGTAGCCCCTGGCTAACAAGTCATAAAATGAAATGTAAGTGAGACAATGCATCGTCAACACGTTTTTTAAATATCGCCAGATTGAGAGCAGAGACGACATAATTAGGGAGTGCGTTCCAAGACTGGCACACGCGGAGAGAAAAGAAATTTCTACGGCATTCAAGCCGGCTATAATGAATTGTCATTTTCAGAGGGTGACCTCTTAGTTTAGTGTTATGGTTCAATTAAAGCAGCGCACGACAAATGTGGTTTGGGTTCTTCAGAATCTGGTAAACCATTTTGAGATCCCCCCGCAAAAGCCGATATCGACTGCTGTGCATTCTTAGAGATTTCAGTCTAAGCTGTTAGGGCAGATGAAGTAGGCCCATGACGTTCTTGGTTGCCCATCGTTGAGGAGTCTCGAGAGCAACGAGATTCTGTTTCTGCCACGGCTGCCACGCCTGAATAGCATATTCCACGTGAGGTCGCACGTAGGCGTTAAGCATTTGGGGAAAGATTGATGGTTCAAAACGACCGAAGGCTCTGCGAAGAAGGCCGAAGTGTTGATTTCCGGTTCTCCTCGCCTTCTCTGCTTGTTTTGAACACCCGAGATCTTCCTGTACCAATACACCCAGGTCACGCTCCTGAGAAACCTTCGCCAAGGTGTGGTCTCCAATCTTGTAAGCGCTCACCGGCTGGTGACGCAGATGCATCACTTTGCACTTAGCCATGATCAATTGAAGCTTGTTCCTCTTTGACCATTCTTAAATGCAGTCTAGGTCATGTTGGAGCAGATCCTGATCTGCCTTGTTACTAATCGCCCGCCACATCTTGACGTCATCGGCGAAAAGCAGGAAGTTTGAGGAGATGACTCTTGCCATGTCGTTGATAAACACCAGAAATATACGCGGTCCCAGCACTGAACCTTGTGGGACACCACATTCCACCTCAATTGGATTAGAAAGTGATCCCCTAACACGTACTTGAAGCTTTCGTTGGTAAAGGAAGTTGCCAATCCAACCAAGTACAGGATCTCCGATTCCGTAACTTTGCAGTCTTTGAAGTAGGATGCGGTGATCAAGGCGGTCGAAAGCTTTGGATAATTATCAAACCCCGGCCTCCTCAGCCAAGCTGCAAAGTTGTTTGCATGAAATAATGCAATGGCGAAACTCTCGCTGCTTGACGCTGAACGCGTCCAAGTAAAATGACACCCTCTTGTCCCCATAGAAAGCAGCTCGTTACCAAGAACTTGCCACAGAATGTCTCACACTTCCGATGGAATGTCACAGTTTAAGCTTCTGTACGTCAGTCAAGTATCTTGGTTACACTGAGCCACGCTCTGTTGTGATCACTCCATGCGAATCTAATACTTCCCAAATTTAGGCGACTTTCGTTTTAAGTCGTTTGATTGCGAACATCCGGCGTAGCATAAAATTTTCCTCTGAAGTTCTTCAATACGTGCAATCTGCCACACTGGACTTATTATACTACTGTGATTATTCCAAATCTAATTTTTAATCATTTTAAGTTGTTTAACAGGCCTCTGAAGCACTTGTCTCGTTGCATTGGTATTCCAAAGTCTAATTTGACAAAACAACTCTATCTATCCACGTTAGTTTATGCACTAAACCTGCTTCAAAATTACTCACTGACATTAGTCTTCCGCATAACATTGTACTCTCCAACTGTTTATCTACTTCGTCGACCGGATAAAAATGAATATCAATGTATGCCCGCACGATGGCTTACGGCTCCTCGGTCATCGCCTATTTGGCCAACTTTCTACTTGACCAAGAGGCTATTATTCAAGAATTTATCGAAAACGCTGCCAGTGAGGTAATGTTTTTCATTGAACTTTTGCTCTTGTTGTTGTTCAGACGCTTTTGATTTCCCTTTTTGTCATGTCGATTGCATGATTGTCAAGGCTGCAAACTGACCCGGTATTGGTGTATAAAAGCGCATTCTTGACTTGACTAGACATGCCATCCTTTATGTGTCAACTGAAATAACATTTTGGCCTGTAACGTGGTTGCCACCCTACTTGCATCTCGGTCACCGTTATCATTGTCCCATTTTACCACAAAAGGAACGCCAGTCCTCAGCTGGTTCATTTCACCTGACCAGTTATTTTCAAACCCATCTTAAGTCATGAATTCTCGATCTGCTCTAAGCATATTTAAAGATACTGAGTAGTAATGTTGCCAATTTTAAAAGTATGCCATTTACTAATTTTGCTGTATTGTAGCCATTTTTCGCTCTAGACTCAAGGGAATTTCAATCTGATGTTTTTGTGTCTGACTAAATAGCAAAACCTGATTAGGCTACTTCGATCAGTTTCCAAATTCTAGGTAACAGGCATTGTGTCATTTATAGAAGTAGAGGGTGATCTTTATGTCGATTGGATCAAAATAGAAATCACCTACTGTATATTAGGAATTGTTTCTTGTGGTGTGTTTTTAGTACCTGTCTATCCACATAGGGGGTTACTACCTACCCTTCGCTGGGTAGATTGGAGGCAATGTCCGCTCACGGTAACACCTACTTGAGGCTTCCTCCCACGCAATTTTCAAAACCGAAAGGTAAGCAATTCGCTCAGTCTCCTCTGTCTATCTCTCAACGGTATGCTGTCGCTTATTTTGCAAAGGAATCCTCATTGAGAGCTCTACTCAAAATAACTTATTTCTGGCAGTAGTTGAGTACCAGGCTAATGAAGCGCAGTATCATGTGACGCCGTGCCACTAAGCAATGATTGCACGGTGTAGTTAAATAATAACAGAAATTATTAACTGAAAAATAGTTATCATTATCTAAACCCAGGCGACCCATACGAACTTGCATATTAGCGTTTGAAACATTCATGAGATATATATTTCGCAGCTCGATAAACTAAATTGCCGATAAAGGAAAACTGTATAAACATCAGCCGCTTTTTCGAGCCAGGAAAGATAAAAAAGTTTCTTCTGTGCAATGTACTACTTCGAAATAAAGTTGGTGGCTTGAGATGCCACAATAGCTCAAAAACATTTAAACTCTATACTTGCGTTTCGCCAATGGTAATCATTATGGTAACTTGCTTGTGTGACGTCCTTCTAAAGCAGAGTAACCATAAGTAGTTACTCAGATACATCCACATACACAGGAGAGCAGATGATGGTCATTATATTCTACCGAGTTATAAGTAGCCAACAACTGTTTTTAATCTTTTGGGTCTGACCTTATTGTCACTGTGGTTTCCCACCAGTGAGTTTAGCTACTGCTGATGGCAATGGTCGGGGTGTGTAATCCGAATACTCCGTAGACAGTAACTGCGTTCGATTTGTGTGCGTGGCTATGTTCATCACAACAGACAAATATGCTTTCAAGACAACCGCTTGTTGTATTAAATACTGAGCATAGTATGACTTAAGGCAGCCGACCCCATGGGTTCAACTGTTCTGTTGCATGCTATTGCAGGCATTTTGCAATGGGATCATATGCTTTGCACTGAACAGTGTTTATTCTATACTGTATGTATTAAATGTTTACACATGGCCTTATGTTATCAGTGGTTTCACGATTGATTGACTCAAAGTTATCGTCTTTGACCGTAATAAACCGAGTAGACTGTGATTATGGACTAGTAATAAGTCCAAGCTAAACAACAAGCTGGCAGACACACTTATGTAGCATTTAACGAAACCACACATAAACCACTAGAAGTTAAGACATAGTGGCGGTTGTTTCTCGTTTATCCCATCAGCACTGTTTTAACTCAACGGTGAGAAGCTCTTATGACCAAGAGGAATGTGCATGACACGCAATGTAGTTCACCAAAATAATAACTGTGCATTTACGAATAGGGGCTTGTGGATCTTAATTCTGTTCCGTAGGAACCGAAACGCATTCCCACGGTACGTGTGGTCAAAACGTACATGACTCAATGTACCTATAACCTAGAAACATGGCAAGACGATCAGTATGGGGGTAAAAGGTGTTTTAGCTAAACACGAAGGTATTTTATCTCTTCGCCATTTACGATATGTGCATTATGGGCGCTAACGCAGGTGATAACGAAGAACCGTAGGCTAAAGAGCGAGGAATTAAGTAAAATGTGCTTGATGCAATAGTAACGCCACTCCGCAGTTTCTCATAGGTATTTGTACCTCGTGGTCCCGCTTGTCTCAATCCCAACCATGTTATGAATCTCGTGTGCCCAAAGTTAAGAAATTCATAGTAAGAGTAAAACCTATCCATGTCTTTCAGTAAGGCCAAACAAGCAACGATGGTTTGTAAATTCGTTGTCCATCCGTTACACCGATGGTTTTCGTATGTGACAATGTTTAGAATGATTGCAGTGAAACAAGAGCATAAGGTGGTACGCGGATATCAACCTAAACTATTAGGGATGAACGAACGACTTTGATGGTGCATAGATCAAAAACCGATGGACTTAGCACTACCCAGCCTTTAGTTGTGGTTAAAAGTGACTTGTTAACGTACGTGCTTCTAAATTACACAAACAAAGTAGAATACGTTATAACTGATGCATTGTGGATCAAATGTATTTTTGGAAAAGTTCTTGATTGTCTTTAAAATTTGACAATAGTGATCTTGTAATCATCCGACACCTGTGCAGAAAACAACAAAAATAATCGATCGATAAAAAAGATCAGTTTCGATAAAGAGTAATCACCACGGGGACGAGAGATCACAGACGAAGACAAAGTTTCGACCAATAGAAACAAGTGCGGTTGGAATAGGAAAGTAATGTCGTAGCGATATTTTGTATGATGTAATGAAACAGGTCTCCAACGGTGACAAACAGAGAAGTAGAGGAAATTTTCAGACATTTAGTACACCAATGGCAAAGTCAAATGATTCTCTTTACCAGGTGATACTAGAAATTAGACATACTTTAGCTAACAAGTAACTCGTGATGCACATTTAGATAAAGGAGAAATGTAAGGTGAAAATACTGAACAGCAATAACTCTGTTCCGTTTTAGATTGTAACAAGCGCATTAGTTTCTGAGTGGGGCTTCAAACCCAGCCGCTTTGTTCGATCGGTAAATATTTCCCGTGTCACCTGTTGACAGTTGTTCAAATAGAGTGGAAATAACTTATAGAAGACAGTTTACAGGAACTGCATAGCTATCTCAAAGGAGATGTATTTCGGTATTACCACATGTCCTTTGTTCGCTGCATCCATGGTAGGGAGATTGTGCCAGTGTGAAAAACCGCAGTAATAGAGGATAATGTCAAAAATACAACAGTCGGTGTACACTGGCTTGAAAGACAGTGAGAACTATGTCAAATAAAGAGTTGTTTCCACTCCGTCAAACTTGTATCCGCCAACATGATCGTATGCACCGGTTTTCGATGGAAGTACATTGCTATTGCTTTCGATGACCAGAATTCGATTTCGAAAATGTGGACGGACTAGTAGGATGTGTGAATCGCATGAACCAACCCCAGAGCATGGTACATTTTATTTAAAGGAAGGACAATTTTGTACAAGTTTGTTAGGTCCGAGATAGAGGTAGCTCTGCTGAGTGGAACCAACGCGGATGCATTCAAGCGATAATGACACTGAAGTTGTTTCCGGAAGAGACTGGATCACTTTCGAAACATATGTAAACATCATCATGAGCGATGACCATGGGGAATCAGCCAAAGACGCACTGTGGACAAGATGAACCGATCACCAGAATGGAATTTGGTTTTGGCTGAGAATTGTCGCATGTGCAATAAGAGTGGGTTATGATGGGAAATAGTTGAGTACCAAAAAAGATGTGGTCCACGGATAAATTCTGTTGCTTGGCGAACAAATCGATGTTAAATGATAATGTCTGTGGTTGTGATTTCTGATTCAACTGTTGAATCAGTTGAATGATTATGTTCAGGGTTTGAAAACGCTCAAAGGACATTAAACAAATAGTTGACCCGCTTACGACGCGGTATACGGTTCTAAGAAAAAGGACCTTCTGATTTGTCTCATCTCCCTTAAAATGATTTTCGAGAAATGCTTCAAGCTTGCACTTTTGGCTCTTTAAGTCCTGAAAATCGATGAAGAAACGGGAACACATATAACGTTCCAGCGAACAGACGTCCATGCCTTCTGGTGACTGATAGCCATTCACCAACAGGCGGCAGTATTTCAAAAGTCCTCCTCCTCTAATCATTTCTGGCTCTTTAGTTGCAATTATTTTGTTCGTTAGGTGATGCAATGCAAGCGAGTACGAACAGGCAACTGACTCTACCACAACTGTGGGATAAGAATTCGGTGTGAGTTCTGCGTCGGGGTTCTGATATATATAGGAAAGAATGGAATCAAGGTGTATCTGGAAGCTGTCCACGGTAAACTCAAACTGGCGTCTCATACGGTCGACAAATTTGAATTCAACAACCTTTGACTGATTCGATGGCACGCCGATTGAAAGCAATGACCAGCAGTCTGAATCCTGAGGGCTGAATTTGCGGAATTGCTTAAATATGTAAGATTCCCGTAGATATATGTCATTTGACAGGATATTTTGGTTGCTAGCGGATCCCGGCAATGGTGCATATTTACTTAGATTCATTGAGCACGGAGTTTGGACAAGCGAGGAAGGTGAAGCAGCTGTAGATAGATGTACACCCTGTCCAGGTAAAATGTTCGGGGATTGTGACGGCTCACTGGTAGATACAATTGGTATGTCAAACAGCCTCATTGGTTGAAGAGAACATGAACTGTTGATAGCACTATCCGCCTGTTTAAAACTGTGCTCAATCAAATACTTTTGTTCTTGGGTCAGAGACGTTTGTGAATTTTCAGTAAAAGCTCTGCAAAAATTTGTCGCAATCACATACGAGGAAGAATATGGACGCAAAATCGTACCCTGGCCCATCAGAGAAGGTGAACATAAATGCGTGAGTTGCTTTGGGTCTCCTTTGTCATTATCAACAACACAAGGGTTGATGACTGGGTTTTTTTGTCCTTCTGGTAAAAATTGCATAAGTGCGTCCAAAACGGAAGATTTTACTCGTTGGCTGATAGAAGTGTGGGAACTTAAATCGACAGAGATAAGGACATCGATATCGTTGAATTCAATCGACGATTCATTACCTGTCAGTGAAAAAAGCAGAGTAAGAGAAAGTTACTAAAGGTTTATATTTGGTGCATGCTGATGTTATTCTTGGGTACGTTTTGGCACAACTAAAAAGTACCTGAAGCGATGCCTTAATTTACTTTAAGGAAGAAAAATGCCAAATGAATCATTTAAAATGTCTATAAACGGTTCTGAACCAATTGAATGAAAAAATTGTATATTCTAAGTATGTATTAACAAGTAAAATAATACAATTTCCGGTGAGCAAAATTTTTTGTATTCTTAATCGGCATGTTGACAAGAGTAAGTACCCACTAAATTACCGGATATGATTAATGGATAGCTTTCATTTAGCCATTTGTATGAATTAGTAGTGTGGTTTAATGCACTAACAAACCAACTGATAAAATTTGCATGCTGTTAATCAGGTTACAACTAGAAAGAAAGCATTCACAAACAGTCTCGGTTCTAACTCAGAATGATATTTTCCGGTTGCTAAAAATTGGGCGGACAGAGTGTATTATTAGGTTCTTCTTCTTAGACCTATGCTAATCTCGAATTCCCCTTAATTTTCAGATGTACATGTGATCCAGTGTCGAAGGTAACTTAACTTCAACTCCTATTGCTAATTCTGTTCACTAGCAGTTATCTTCCGGTTTGTGCTGATCCCAACAAATGAAGACTGAAGAAATGCTCAGTATGTTACCTACTGTAATCGATGGATACCGCTTTATCCACTTTTAAATCTGATTACTGCTTTTAAAATGCCACTAATCTTCTGCTCTATTCACATATGCGGATGATAGTCAAAACTGATGTCTCATGCTAAGGAATTAACTCACTGAAAACATACTCTTTAACATACATAAGTGAATAAATCTACGCATATCTTTGCGGTCTTTCACTCTGGTAACAATGGTCATGATAAACGAATAGGAATTGGTCGTCAAGTTTAGCCTTGCAGCTGGGAAGCACAAACGCTCACCTTCAGATGCAGCGATGGTGACCGAATTGACCAAAGCCTACTTTAAGGTAAATCGCGGTCGCATTAATATTGCGTGTTGCAATACATTCAAATGGAGCATGTTTCAAAACGATTCATTCAGCTTTTCATTGATATACTGTGCATGGAAAGACAAAAGAAAATTCGCTTTTTCGTATATCTGATGGACGGTTCCATTGTATCGCAAATCCTCCTAAGGTCCGCCACAGAGAGTGGGTGCTACAGAATAATCCAAAACAATAGTTGCACTGGAATATCGCAGCCGATGTGTGATAAGTAGTAGATGTGGTGCGTAACGTTTGCACAGTGAGACTATCTAGATTAAAGGAAATACGGAATGCAAACCAAAATACACCGCTATTAGCAGCAAACGATGTATCAGGCACTGATCAAACCAAACGTGGAACGGAGCTCGGATGGCTTTGTTTGCTTGATTCTGGTTGTTTGTTGCAATCCCATTCTACTATTCCATAGGGAATTATTCCATGTTGATTTGGGCTGTTCAGAACAAACGGAAAAGGGTTCAAAGACTGAAACCCAACACTATGGCATGCTACGGAGACATTCAAGCGGTTTGATACCTCTGCCTTTTCGCGGTTGCTCTACACATATGTGCGGCCTCATGTGGACTATGTAATCCAGGTCTGGCAGCCCTAGCACAAGCAAGACCTTGCAGCACTCAAGAGTCTACAGCGAAGAGCCATCGAGCGTGTCAAAAGGTTGTTCCGTCTTTATTAACAACTTTTCCTGAGGTCATTAACAATGTACAGCGACAAGTGTCGGCAACAACGGAGTATACCCTACTCAATGGAAAACTTCTGTTGTTATCCCGCGACATAAAAATGGCGCTGCCCACGAGGTTAAAAACTTTCGTCCATTAAATCACACACCCATCGTATCTAGAATAATGGAAAGGATAGTAAAAGATGAACTATTTATATTCTTGAACAAAGCTAACATTATCAGCAATTCGCAACACGGCTTCATGCAAGGTCGATCCTGCGCAACATGCCAGACTGACATTTTAAACCATACAACGGCTGCCATTGACAACGGAAACAGTGTCGTAATCCTGTTCCTGGATATGCAAAAAGCCTTTGATAGAGTGCCTCACAGAAGGTTACTGAAAAAACTGAAGGCTATAGGCATTGGAGAACCGATGTTCTCTTGGCTGTCTTCATATCTAACTGGTAGACAGCAGGTTGTGCGCATAGGCGACCATTTCTCTACACCGAAAGCAATCACTAGTGGAGTGATTCAAGGGAGTGTTCTTAGTCCTCTTCTTTTTCTAATTTATATTAACGATATATTCCAGAGAATAAGAAATGGTGTTGCATTTATCTTTGCTGATGACATGAAAGTTGTCTACTCACAACCACGTGCAAAAACGCAGGGAGCCGTACGTCTCATTCAGGATGACCTATCCGCCCTTGACTCCTGGTGCCAACTGTGGCAGATGTCATTTGCCGTGGACAAGTGTAATATTTTGTCGTACAAATGCCAAGTACCGCCAGACAGTTTATTACTACAAGGTGCCTATATCTCGCAATGCAGGACAATTCGCGACTTGGGCGTGCGATATTCAGTCACGTTTAACTTTTCTGAACAATGTGACTTCTAAGTTTCGAAAGCCATGAAGACCATTGGTTATATCTGCCATCAATTTTACCTCACGGAATCTCTCATATCCCTTTACAAAACATATGTATTGCCGTGTATGGAATACTGTTCAATGATACAGTCTAATCTACGGAAGTCTGACCAGCACGCTCTTGAGAGGGTCCAGAGACGCTTCACGAAAAAGCTATGTGGATATTCCTCAAAGTTGACATACAAGGAGCGATGCGATAAACTTGGATTTGACCCAGTTTGGCTTCGGATAATGAAACTGAACCTATGTTTTATTTACAGAATCATAAATTGTCAAATTCGCAGTCCTGAAAGCGGTGTTCACATATCTGTAAGCAACAGATACCCAATACGTAACAAAGAGGTAAAGGTCATGATTCCAAAATTTTCTACGAGAATCAGAGAACGTTTCTTTCTAACCCAATACTCAAAGATTTGGAACAAACTTTCAAGTGATATCAGAACATGCTATACTGTTTGCAATTTTAAGCTAGCTATTAGTAAGCATTTAACCGTCCAAAGCGTGATTAAGATGTTTGGGACATCACAATCCCTAGATAACGCATTCGAAAACGGTATCCATGGTGTCTGAATAAATTTCTGAAACACATACACATAACATTTCGGACAACAGCCCCTTTCATTACTTTTTTTTCTCTCGGCCCAAATATCTATCATGTGATTGTGAAGAATCCTGATTAAGTGGCAGGTAAAAATAGCAGAACGATTCTGATTACTCCGTGTAACATGATTTGCAATTGCATCCATGTTTATCTCTGAAAATGTATTGATGAAATGTCATGGAAGTTGTACCATTATTTGATCTGTTCCTTATAGAGAACAGCTTCTCGCATCGTCGAGGAATATACAATTTATTTATTTATTTATTTATTTAACTATGTGGCGATCTAATAATGGCTCATCAGATTTTGAGGAATCCAAACGTCTGCCTCCACCTGCTGCAACTCAATCACAACTGAAAGTTGAGGAGTCACCAGCTCAAGTTAACCATGCCAATTGGCTAAAATGTCGGCGAAATGTTTAATTTCTTTGTTTGTAGTAGATATGGAACGTTATTTATTTAATAATTACGTTGTCACGTTGTTAGTATTTATATTGTTTCCGTCTCCATTTTACTCGAGTTTACAAAACTCCTTGAAGCTGCCCTAATCCATCTACATTACGAGTTATAGCCCGTGTAACTCGACTGTCCATATACTATGACGAACGTTGCACAAGTATAATTAAGATGCACAATGGCGGTTAGCTCCTTTTTGCATGTCTCAGTGGAAACACTCTGGTGAGTCCATCAAAACGATTTTCATTTTATCACCTTGTTTTCTGTTCACCGCATTGTGGTTCTCATTCTGACCACCTTAAGGGGTTTGTTAGGCAAATGCCTTGTCACACGTAATATACCATTGTTCCATTGTATCAAGTTTTGTTGGACTGATCCCTAGATATTGTTCTTAAAAGTACTGGCAAACAAAAATTCCTACTGACTGAAAGCTACTCAGCAAAATGAAGGCAAAAGCTACCAATGCCAGTCTCCGATTTGCTTGATCAGCTTTTTCCTTTGTTGAGATTTTAATCGCTACAGCAAGTAGAAATCACACTGAAAGCTATAGAACTGGAGCTAGACTTATTGAGTGCACAGACCAGGATGCGGGCAAACTGGTAATGTGTAATTATACCTTATTTTGTTGCGCGTTTCCCAGCCATTAAGGCCAAAATTTATTGCGAACAAAAACCAAAGTGAAAGCTTTAACTAGAGACACATTAGTAGGAACGAATATGTCAGGTTAAAAACAGCAGTCGTATATACCTGTCACCAGTGTATATACTGTGTTGAGTGAAACGCTCCTTGCACGCGAGCTATATGCTGAAGTCAGAAGTACAAAATAGTGCAATTTCAAGCGTGAAGAAATAGAATAAGTATTAGCTCGGGGTAAAATCCTTCTTGCGTAGCTCCCTTGTAGAAATATGCTGCAGTTTTAGAACGGCAAATAACAGTGGGCGTTTTGATGAATCATGTTGTACAGAAATAACAGGTCACGCCTCAATCTACGTAGCCAAAACGGATCCAGCTGGAATTGTTCGAAGCGCTCCCGATAGTTCTTAGTGGAGATTTAGCCTAGCAGACGTTTGGTAAATGACCTATGTATACCTTCCAGAAATACTCTGTCAGATTTCTTCATGCTGCTGCAAATATTACTGCAGCATTGCAAAATGGGTCGAGTGCGGATTTTGAAGAGTTCTACTCTGGCTAGGGTTCTGTGGATCTTACACCGTTTATTAGCTACTGCTTTTCTTGCTCTAAACAGCTGGTATACAACTTGTTCAGAAAAGTTGAAAGTGCGAGAGTACCTGATGCCGTCGCGGGTA